TCTGCTTCAGCCTTGCCAAAACACTGGTGGTCATTCATAAATTCAGGCATGTAAAAATGGGCTATTCTCCATGAGGTATCCTTGCCCTCCATAAACTAGAAAGCTCCTCAACCTCGGGTCGGAGATGATGCTGGAAGGGGGTAAACGAGCAATGAAACATGAATATTTCGAAAGAAATGTTTTATTTAAGTAGCTAACAGCAGCACTAGGGGGATGAAAAACATTTACCCATTGGAAATGATATTATGACCCTGGCAGAGGCCATGTGATGGCTTGTTTATTTTGTTCCAGGGAGCTATTACGAGAGGTGACTGTGTGGGACTGAGAGAGCAGGACTGAATAGCATTCTGGTTATACTCTGCTTTGAAAACGAAGTGTGGTAGCCTACTATTTTGTCCTTTCAAGTACTGACATGACACTGCCTTGCGAGTTTATACTGTACTTGCGGAAAAGCATTTCATATATGCTTGGTATTCCTATTTGCCAGGTGCGTATTGATGCTAATGATCCTAATAACTATTAAAGGGGTCATATGATGTTGCTAAAAAGAAGGGATCTTATCTATTCACGAATAGCTTATAACACTCCAAAGAGAAAGGAAAACTTGAAATCGCATCATATGACCCCTTTAAGGAGCTGTTGATTGTTAATTTAAATTGCAGACGTGTTTCAAAAATGGATGTGGATAATGATCTCAAGATGCTTTTGTTTCACTTAAGATGGATTTGGATACTTACTGCACACAAGCAAGCACCTACCATTTGTCAGGACTTTGTCGGCTGTTCTCGTTCTTCCTCATGACTCATTCAGTGTGGATTAAAACATCTAAGTAGGTAATCAGACCTTCTAACACAAAACAGAAAGCCTATATACCCGACGACTCTCAGCGAAGTGTAACCAATAACTGTTCCATTTGCAAGATGCAGCTGAGCTTGAAATGAATACAAATCTCTTTTATTTCAAAAACTAAAGCTATGAATTGCCAGCAGCACTTCCAGGTGATCTTACTGTATACCAATTAGGCTGCTTGCATTGAGTAGCTCGGTTTTGGCTCTGATTGATGTCTGACCTCTTGGGATCCTTGAAAATCACTCGCTCTGCATTCTGCCGCAGCCCCCCATGGGATCCTGATGAATAGCGACCCAAACAAATGAAAATGTTTATCGTCCTCTTATCAAATTAACCACTCAATTGCACAGTTAATTGTTTATTAAAGGACTTAAGATGGAATCACATAATGAACCTGGTACTTAAGCTTTTTTTCCAATTAGGAAATGCACTGACTCATGTCATCTGAATGATGTCACTCCTATGAAACTGAAGCTGCAAGAACTTTTATTTATTTAATTTTTATTCATATTTTAAGGGGAGTTGGACATCAAAAGGCAGTCTTTTCCTTCTGTATGGTCCGTTCTCTGTTAATCAGAAAAGCCACAGCACCCCCTACTGTTCAACACTTTCCGGACCATCATTAAAGGCTCAGACTTGATGGAAAATGCAAGACTAGATCAGAATAGTTCATTATTATATTATATTCTAAAATAATATACCATATTTTTCTAATTTCCTCAAAATTTGGTAACAGTATCCAGAATACAATAAGTGTTTTAATTCTTTAAACACGAATATCATGTGTAAAGAAAACTTGCAGGCAGGAATGATACAATTGCTACATCCCAAATCTGAAAAATGCTGCATATGGAGAAAGGAACGCATCAAGGGACGATGTTTGCATAACATCCTATGTACTCAGGTCATTTAGTTTGAAGGCAGCATAGTGTATCCTTTGTTGCCTGTGTTATGCCACAATCTGGTGCAAGCAGTAAAATAATGAAAGAAAAAAAAGCAGTGCCTGGTGAAGTGGTTTCTGAAGTAAATGAATTCATAAACATCCATTTTTATTAGAATTTTATTTCTACTAAGAAATAAGTGTTGTAATCATCAAAAATTTGCTTGGTTATTTCTAAAGCTCACCTGAATTTGGTTTGGATATTTACAGTGCCTTGGAAGTTTCCTTAGAAGGCAGCTTCATACAGAAATACTGATTAGTAATTAACTGGGCAGTGAGGTAGAAAAGCAGTTTTTATTTTAGTAATGTACTGATGTATCAGAAATTTGTCATATGTGCTGTAAAATTCCAAAGCACATAAAAAGTAACTTCTGCAAGAGTTTTTTGACTATAAACTGATGTGCCATTTGCAGTGAAATGACAGTTAACCATCTTAGTTGATGCAAAGCAAACATGCATACTCTATCAGAAAAAGACATGCAAAAATTGTACATTCAAGGTGCAGTCACAAATTTTGGTAATAATTTGTGGGCAAAAAATGGTCCCATAGACTATTGTCTAAAGTGTACAATGTATAAAGCACAGCTCACATGGAAGTTACTTAAATACCAAGCAGCATTCTGTTGGTGGTGAATCTTTATGAGTATGACCAACCAATAGTTTTGTGTGAATCCACCCAAAAATAAAAATTCTGTCATAATTTACTCAACCATAATGTCGTTCCAAACTGACTAAAACTTTCTTCTTTGGATAACAAAATAAGACATTTTGAAGAATGTTGGTAACCGAACAGTTTTAATTCCCACTGACTTCCATTTTATTTTTGCCCGTAGAATAGAAGTCAATGGCAATGGCAAAATTGTCTCTAGGTTACATACAGTATGTAACCATGGTTCCCCGAGGGAACGAGACGCTGCGTCGAAGTCGCTTTGGGAACGCCCTTGCGTGACCGCGTTCTGAAGCACGTGTCAAATCAGTCCAATGGAGTAGCGAGACGTCACGAGCGGGGTGACGTAAGCACCAGAAAGTATAAAAGCGCATCCGGCAGAGCGCAAACCAGCTTCGATGAAGTAGCGCCTGGAGGGATGCAGGGAGTATGGCAAAGAGACGCAGCGTCTCGTTCCCTCGGGGAACCATGGTTACATACGTAACCTAGAGACGTTCCCCTTCAGGAACTCGAG